TGAAGGGAGCGTCAGCGGGGGCACGCAAGGAACGCCATTTTCGGGCGCATAGAAGAAAGGTCATCGCGCTTTCAATTGGTCGTCGTGCGACAACACTCGCAGAATAGAGGGTAGCGATGGATGTACCACCAGACCATTCGGCGCAGCGCAACCCCAAATTGACCCCTACAGACACAGACGACGAGCAATGTTGCGTACCAATACTCCTTGCGCAATCGACTCGCACGCAAAGGTCCACCCATCATGCGAAGGACTGTTAGATTCCCATGGATCCTCAAAGTCCGCCAGGATCCGAACTCGGAGGAATGCAAGTGCAGCGAGTAACAGATTTTTGCACGGCTGCAGCTATTGGAACAGGTGGTTGGCGTTTGCACAGAAGCAGGGCATGCTTGGGGGAACCCCCCACAAACCCCCATAAGCCATTTCTTGAATCGAGCATTTTGCGCACCCCTCGGCCTCCGACTTCCAGAACACGTCGGGATCGACGGCAGACCGACAACAGGCACGTCTGCTGTCATCAACGACAACCCCCACAAACCCTTACACGGGCATTCATGACGGCGAAGAATTTTGCGCACCAATACTCCTCCTGGAAGAAACTTGCACAGAAAGGTCCACGCCTTATGCGAAGGACGGTTAGATTCCCACGGTTAGATTCCCGCGGTCAGATTCCCGTAAATAACATGTCGAAATGCAGAAATGGATGGAAGACCCCCTCCCCTGCAACCCTTCCAAACCCCGACTCCGCCAGTCGACAAGGCGAACCYCGATTYGCGCGCCGGGAACGTCGACGTGCGACAGCGCGAACCGGAAAGCGCTCYGGAACACGAGCACGTCCRCGACRAGACTCCGCGCTCCGCGACRGTCCAAACYCGTAGGGGGCAACATAGATCGACGRCAGACCGATGAAGGTCACGTCTGCTGTCACCGACGGCCACCCCCATAAACCCCTACGCGGGCATTCCAGGCGGCGAGGAATTTTGTGCACCAATACTCCTCCCTGGACCAACTCGCACGAAAAGGTCCACGCCTCATGCGTGACGAGTGTGTCTTTGCATGTGCGCGTGCGGTTGATTGTGTGTTGGAGTGTTTTTTTCTCGGGTTTGTGTATGTAGTGTCTCGTGTCTCTACTTGAGGGGCGTGTTTGTGTACGCGGCGTGTGTGCGCGTGTGTGTGCTTGTGTGAGTGCGTGTGTCTGTTCGTATGCGTGTGTGTTGTTTCGCCGATTAAACGCGCGGAGGTTGTCACCAAGGTGTGCGGCCATCATTTGTATTCTGGCGTTGAGCGACATGCGTGCGTAATATCCGGCGATTCCGTACGCTCTAATGAAGAACTGTAATCTGTTGTCCATCTATCCATCCATTGTATCTCTGTCGCYGCGTGGTTCGACCAATCAYACTTTGGGCAGGTCGAGGGCTACGACATTCAAACATCAAACAGGAACAATGGAGTGTGGTCAKTGGTCAGGATGTGATGAATTGATGAATGCCGATAGCTCCGATCGAACGCGCTGTGGCCAGTCACGAAACATAAACACCCCCCGCTCGATCGGATGTTTCTCCGTTCATCATTTTCATACACAACAAGAGCACACGAGATCCACACGTTTGTGTGTGGATCTCATGTGATCTTGTTGTGTACGAAAGTAATGACTGGAGAAACATCCGATCGAGCGCGGGGTGATTATGTTTTGTGACCGACCACAACCCGTTCGATCGGAGCTATCGACATTCGTCAGTTCATCATATCCTGACCACTGACCACATTCCATTGTTCCTGTTTGTTGTCCCAACGCAGTAGCCGTCGATCTTCCCAAAGGATGATTAATCGAAACACGCGGCGACAGAGATACAATAGATGGGTAGATAGACAGCATTCCTTGATTTGATAGTATTCATTATTGATTATAGACAGTCCAGAGCACAAGGTAGATAATATCCCTTGATTTTATGCAGTCCAGATCCTTGGAGCACGATCAGATCACTCTCGACATTGTCATCGCGTGTTTCGATCGGCCGTTCATTGGGCAGTTTTCATGAGCTGAGTAACTGATGCATGATGAAAGCTTCGATCGAGCGCGAGGCGATCGGTGACGAAACATAATAACCGCGCGGCAGATCGGATCTTTCTCCACTCATCAGATCAATCATCCACACGTGAGTGGTGACATCGGCCATACCGCACGTGAGTGATGAACAAGACCATCACGATTGATCACGATACCGCCGCTGATCTGCCGAATGGATGATCAATCAAAGCAGGAGGTGACATTGTCGGGACAGCAGACGCACCCAGTCGACCAATCGCCGAACACGAACAGAGAGTTCGCGATCGGTCGATTGATCGCGTTTGCTGTCTCAACGTTGTCACCGCGTGTGTGTTTCTCGCCAGTATCAAATGTAATAACAAAACACACGTGGCACCGTGCACGAACGACCAACCTGGCGGCGAGCGACCGATCCATCACACTCGTTGATGTACCCCGAGCGAACAGTAGACTGGTCAATAGATCCACCACTACCAACATCACTGACCGACAATTCGGACTGCGGTCGAACGACCAGTTGATCCAGCAGTCCACCAACCACACAGCCGAACGTGTGTTTGCGTTGCAACCGTGGCATCACCCTCTGCGCGATCGCCCAACCGGCAGGCGTACCACCGATCCAGCAAACTGGTTGACAGGAGAGCGTTGGCACAAGTAACTGATTAGTTGATTGATCGACTTTTCGGTTTGTGGTTGGCCAATTAGCTGATTGATCGGCCGGTCGCCGACCAGGGCACCGACATGCCAGCCGAGCGGTTCACTTTTCTCGCCCYRATTGCACTGCAYTCSACCTGCCTCCTCGTCCATTGGTCGTACGCAGCACGCAGGGCAATTGGTCCACCACACGGTAGAAACCCGTGAAAAAGGTCGATCCCTGTTCGAGAATGGACAAAAGACAGTTCATGACGACGTTGTTGCACATCGAACGTTGCTGGCCATCGAACCTTAGCGGCCATCGAACCTTGTTTGGCATCGAACCTGGCGCCCCATCAAATCTTGGCGGGCATCGAAATGTTGGCGGACATCGAATGCCACTGGACGGCAAACCTCGTCGATCATCGAACCTTGTCGGTCATCCAACGACGAACTCTTTGCAGCCACCACAGGACAGCGGGAAACCTGTGAAAATGTGAAGTCCGCCAGGATCCGAACTTCAAGAAAGCACGGGAAGGCGAGTTTGATAGACATCTGTGTCTCTCCCACCTAATTTTGCCAAGCTCGGATCCCGGTGGATCTCCGGTTCACGCCTTCCGCAAGACCCAACACGCGGTGCAATTCCAGCGGGCAACCACAGTGGTGGACCTGTGAAAATGTGAAGTCCGCTGGAATCCGAACTTCAAAAAAGAGGGGAAGGCGAGTTTGATAGACAACTGTTTCTCTCCCACCGCATTTCGCCAAGTACAGATCTCGGCAAACTTCAGGTTCTTGCCTTTCGTAAAACCCAACTCGAGTTGCTATTCCAGTGCACAACCACAGCAGTGGACCTGTGAAAATGTGAAGTCCGTTGGAATCCGAACTTCAAGAAAGAATGGAAAGGCGAGTTTGACAGACAACTGTTTCTTTCCCACGACATTTCACCAAGTTTGGATCCCGGCGAACTTGAGGTTCTCGCCTTTCGTAAAACCCAACTCGAGTTGCAACCCCGGTGCACAACAACAGCAGTGGACTTGTCAAAATGTGAAGTACGTCAGGATCCGAACTTCAAGAAAGAATGGAAAGGCGAGTTTGACAGACAACTGTTTCTCTCCCACGGCATTTCGCGAAGTACGGATCCCGGCGAACTTCAGGTTCTTGCCTTTCGTAAGACCCAACTCGAGTTGCAACCCGAGTTCACAACCACAGCGGTGGACCTGTGAAAATGTGAAGTCCGCCGGAATCCGAACTTTAGGAAAGAATGGAAAGGCGAGTTTGATAGACAACTATGTCTCTCCCACGGCATTCCGCCAAGTTCGGATCCCGACGAACTTCAGGTTCTGGCCTTTCGTAAAACCCAACTCGCGTTCCAACCCCAGTGCACAACCACAGCAAGGGACCTATGTCGTTTGATTGCTCGCCAACTATGTTTACGAGTGTCAGCGTCCCCGTGTGTGTTGTTTGGTATTTGCGCATGGTGTGTAGGGCGCGTAATGGATGGGACCTTCTCGACACTACGAATCTTTGAGTCGATCTTCTCGACACCACAAACCATGAGTCCCCAAACGCACATTCGCTTGGCAGAACCGTTTCCTCCTTGCGCGAGATCAGTGCGGCATTTCAACGGTGTGACTACGATCCACGAAGCGACCGCAGAGGACTTCGACGAGGACCCCTGGATGACCGTCGTCCCATGCAGGACGCGCATATTGACGATTGGTGCGATGGGAATTTGGCCACGATGGAGAGTCGCTACCCTTGGGCAAGCCAGTACAAATTCGCCAACATATTGGAGTTCGGGAACCTCATCCCGCTGTCTGACGCTGTCCTCGGACACAAGTTCCTGAACCACATGCGCAGAGCGCTGGGCTGCATTAACCGTCATTTCAGCCGCCTCGAATGCCACTACGTCAGCTCGTCGCCACGAACTTGGGGAGGCTCGCGAAAACAAGAGTTGCTGGACTGCGCTCGTCACTGCTCGTTCCTGGGCCAGTACCCGCTTCGGTGCCCCGGGAATTCTCCACAAGTTGTGTCATACTGTTGTGTGCGATTGACTGTGTCCGGGTCTGATTTCGCCAGAGCTCTATGTGTCGCTGTGTCGAACAAGAGCAGGAAACTCGTCGATACAGTTGTGCTTGTATCACGCAACGAGGTGGCAATCGAGGGGTCCAAATTCGTGCCAACGCCCGGGCCTGAACGTGTAGATGGGTGGCGAGATTTGGTTATAGCAGGGCCGGTCCAAAACTTTTCGTTGCTTAGGGAGGTCGAGGAGAAAGTGTCCGCCATACGGGACTGTATAGGGAACTCCTTAGCACGACCGGGAGTGTTTCTTAGGATGAAATACATGTCCGTYTTTTCTGAAACTGCAACGGTCGACGATCCGCWGGTCCGCGTTTACGGATCGTCAATGAATGCTTTGTWTGGCTACGGTTCGCGACCTCGTCCCCGAGGAACCGCGATTGTCACAAGATCTGGACGTGTGGTTGGACATCATGCTTAAGCGAAAAGAAGGGAGACGAGTGAGAGGCTTGTGTGCTGCCGAACATAGCAGAGTTTTAGAAGTGGAGAAAGGCGCGGGAGGCAGCAGTTGCTAGTGCAAGCCGTCTCTTTCCATGTCGCGCCCTCTTGAAGTTCGGATCCCGACAAACTTCGCGGTTTGGCATGTGCGTCCTACCAGCCTCCGAGCTTCGAGTGCTGAGCAGAGTCGGAAACGGTCCTGCTACCAATTACGCCTGGACTCGATGACTGCTGCCATCGAAACCTGCGGTCGGCTGTGGAACCCCGGGTTTTTTCCTTGTGCACCTTTGGATGTTTCTCTCTGTCTCTCTTTCTCGCGTCCTCCTGAAGTTTGGATCCCGACAAACTTCAGGAGTCGCCTGTCTATTGCCACAGACGGTGGTCTTCCGGATCCTTCGTGGATTCTGGCAACAACCAAAGTCCGCCCTAATCCGAACTGCTCCGATTTTCGATCTCGCGTTATGCACAGCTTGGCACTGGATGGACCCAAGCTCAAAAGCGAAAGCCGTGTCAACATTTCGTAGGTCCCTGGACTCCTCCATTTCAACCAGCCTTTCATTCCGGTGTGGCCTTCCTGGGCCGGGTTTGAGTTTAACAACCTTAGACTTGCGGATCGTGTATCCGAGACGCCGTTTCTGCCTGTCGCATCGTTCTGAAGTTCGGATCCCGGCGAACTTCACGTTTCAGGAGGTCCTTTGCTTTGTCGTGAGTCTTCGTGGTTCCGGGTGGGTTGCACAACCCGCCCGGCAACAGTTCCGGAGTGCGTTTGGTCGAGCACGGTTCTAGGACGCTGGCTGCATGGCTGCCTCTCTGTTCTGGTTTTGGCTCCCGGCGAGCTTCTGCTGTTGGACTGTTGGGAACACTACCACGTCGAGCGCGAGCTTCCAACATGACCGCAAGTTGATTCCTGCGAAAAATTCCCAAAATTTGCTTCCGCCGTCTCTATCTCACGCCCCGTCCTTTTGTTCGGATCCCGGCGGACTTCGCGATTTTCACTGTGCGTTTGTCTGTCTTTGTTCTTCGGGGTGCCCCGTGTGCCGCATAAACTGCGCGTGATCCCATGCGCACTGCGAGTTTTCACTTGCTTCTCTCTCTCTGTCTGCCTCTCGGTCTCTTGCCCGCATGAAGTTCGGATCCCGGCGGACTACCCCTTCTCACCGTTCCGGATTTGGGTGCCCGGGTGTCTTCGTGTGCGGCTTTCGCTGCGCTGCAGCCTGTGTTGACGTGCGGCAGCGAGTGTTCTGTTTCTCCTGTGTTTTGACAGACRTTGACTTCATGGTGTGCTGTTCGATTTGYGTTGTYGTTCGYAGACAGTATGTCTTTTTCCAAGGGCGAGGTGGAGCCAACAGGGACCTCCGGGAAGGAATCATGAAAAGATTCCACGAGGCGGTCGTCTACTGCCACGCAGGGGTGGTCGAACCATTCGAGGTCGAAATGGTTCATCGACTGGTGCTGTGGAGACGCTTCCAACCCCACTGCGCAGCCATGTGGTCCTGTCATCTTCATCGATGATAGCAGAAGGYGTAGAGTGCTTGGTGCCATCTTGCGGTGGGAGGACGCAAAGGGGGGCCGGCGACATTTCTATACGCAGAAAGTTTATGGCGCCAAGGGCAACGTCGTTCCCAATTCGAAAGGGACATTGTTGGACCTCGAATTGTGTGATGGGTTCGGAGCGGGTGCTGTGAACACCCCGTTCTACAGAGAACTCGTTCTCGGGGGCCGTTTTGTTTTGGCGCGTGAATTTTTCGACATGTTGGAGGACAAAAACATCGCTCTAGATGTCCCCTGCAACGTCAACCCATCCCTGGATCTGTCGTTGCCGTTGAAGCTGTGCAGCGGTTGCGAGTCAAGCGGGGCAGGGGCGGAGGGCGGTGATCTGGGTTCTGGTCCCGCCACTCAGCTGCACCGTGGCGAGAGCCGAGGTCAGTTCGACGACAGCGAGGATGAGGGGACTGCTCCGCCGTTGAGTGACACGCGGCGGTCTGTGTTGTCTATTCTTGGGGTTCAGACTGATGCTCCTGTTCAGCGGAAGAGTACGAGGCCTGCAGTACACGTGGCGGCCTATTCGGAGGTCGACTTGGAGGCGAGCGAGGGACAGGGTGTGGAGGAGGTGGACGCGGGAGGCCTGGGCTCGCAAGGAGCTCCGCAAAAGAGGAGCGGGGATCGTCCAGATGAGTTCGCCGGTTCTACGAAGAAGTTAAAGAGCAAGGCCCCCAGGACTGCGGGGGAGAAACACAAGGGGACCGAGGGGGAGCAGGGTCGGCAGGTTGCCAAACGACCGTCTTCGAGACAGAAGCAGCCCGAGTCTGGACCGTCTTCTCCACCGACAACAGGGACTCCCATCGACGTCGAGGCCGGGTACTTCCTCGAGTACAAAGACGGCGTTCGGACAAAGCGGGAGTTCGACATTAGCCCTGCGCAGGTCGTCGACCTCGGGGACTGGGAGGACCTGTACAACCAGCAGTCCCTGGATCCCGTGCTCGTGGAAGGGATCAAGGAAGCGATGCGGTTGGCGTTCGAAAACAAAGCGCAGTCTTACGATTTACCAACCCTGAAACTGGCACCGCTGGGGCTTGATAAACCGACTCCGGGGACCAGGGCAGAACGTCAGAGACCGGAGGATTGGAGGGATGAGCTGGCGGGATAATACTACTACTACGCGGTGTGTGGGCAGCACAACGCGGCTGCAGCGAGGTCGTTGCTCGACAGCGAGGTGGCCAGGAAATACAATTTCGAGCGGTGGCCTGCATGAATGGTCTACTTTTCGGACGACGACTTCGAAGGGTACTTCCTTGTCAGTTCCCAGGACAACAAGAAGGACCTGAAGGCGCCCCCATGACGGCTAAAGCTGTCAATGAGGGACATTAGGTGGCAGTGGAAGCGCGCCGGTTGCCCGCGTGCTGTTATGGGGAACCCCATCGGAAAACAGGATCAGGTCCAGAAGTGGCGTGAATTCTGTAATGTCGCACTCAACATGACACCGCACAACAACTTGTGGATTCTCGCAGATCAGCAGGGCGAGGAGGCCATCAGGAAACAAGGCGCTGCCCTGCGTTCCTATTTCCCGCTGGCTATGGCAGGGGAGAACGTCTGGAAACTGGCCGTCGAGTTTCTCGAGAAATGGGAGACAGGCAGATTGCTCGGACACAACGGCGCAAAGTGGATCATGCGGAAGAAGAAAGTAAAAAATGTGAAGCCTGGGGTTGCATACATCCATAATGACAAGCTGGGCAGGAAGGAGGTCGTGTACAACGTCCCTGTGGAACCGCCGTCAAAGAAAGGCAAAAAGGAGAAAGAGGAGGGCGAGTGGTTCGTGCGAGTGCCAGAGCCGGACGCGCATTGTTGGAAAACGATGGAGTCGATGACAGACATCGAGAAGTGCCGCGTCCTGAAGAAGGTGCTCGCTTGCGAGGTGGTTTGGGTACAGGCCGGCTCCCCAGCGTTGGCGAAGATCGGAAAGCTGAGCGTCCAGGAGGTGGTGAATTTGGTGAAGTGCGACCGGGTGCTAGTGCGTCTGTGGAACTACTACCAGTTCAAGCACGACAAAAGGCCGGACGCGGATTGGAGCCAGAGGTTCCCGTTCCTGAAATCAAGGTCCGCAATTTTCAGACAGTTTGAGAGTCGTGGTTTGGATGCAGAGTTGTGGGACGGGAGCACGAAATACGTCACTGACTCCTCGCTGTTCAAGGACTGCCCGCCCTACATGGGCTGCGACGACGATAGATTGATCGAGGCGATGGAGAAGCTGGCCGGTCACAAGAAGCTGTCCGTCGACTGGAGGAATAAGGTCCTGTTCGTGTTGACTGGCAGTAGACTGAAGAGTCGAGAGATCGCGCTCGCCGAAGGCATTGTGCACATAAAATGGAATGACACGGGCGACGTGACATCCATCGCGCCATTCGGCAACGACCCCTTGGAGGCAGACATAAGGAGTGCGGAGGTGAAGGAGGCAAAGCTTGCCACAAAGAATCACACGTTCGTCCTCGATCTGTGCGAACCGGTGGACCTGAAGCTTTGGAAACCGCAAGCGTTCGACACTCTTAATTCCCAACTCCAGACGTGGTGTCCCTCGCATTGGACGCCCGTTGTTTTTGTCCCCCGGCAGCAGAACCTCTCCTTTCTGGCCAGCATGAACCATCTTTCTTTCGTCAAGCTGCTGGAAGGGAAGTGGGTGAGGAGGAGTCAACAGAAGAAAAGCTTCCCCGTCGGGAACAATTTGTACACGGAAGACGACCGGATGTACATACTCTTCAAAGGCGACAATTTGCGGGCCAACACGTCCGTCGTCTACGAGGGGAAACTGTCGGCAGGCGCCACTGCTGCAGTGCGGGTACCACAGAAGGTTACGCAAACGGATGTGTCCGACATCCCATTCAACGCTTGCGACTGGTCACATACCTCGCCTGCACGTCAGGGCATTGTGTACGGGGACATGGAACGCAATCCCGCGCAATTCATTCAGCTTCTCGAATCCATCACCAAGAAGGGGGAGGGTGTCGTCTTCCTCGGGAAGCCACACGCGCGGTCAGTCTGGGAAGTACTGAAGGCAAGACGACACGTCATCGCGATGGAAGGGAACTCCGAGCTCTTGCAATTTACAATTGATCTCGTCAAAAGCGAGGTCAATTCGGGTGCCCACAATTGCGAGTTCATGGTCGTCACCGAGACTCGGGCTCGCGCGTGGAACAACAAGACGGACATGTGGTTCAAGTTCAGTGCGAGAAAGCAGAACAAGATATACGACTTCTTGTTCCTGCAAACGCGGCCGAAGAGAGACACCGACGCCGAGTACGTGCGCTGCAAGGACCACATGTTCACGTTGCTCGACAACTACCACGGCGCCTCCCGCATGAACGCGAAGACCTTCCTCGAGAGGTTGCAGTCCCTTTATTTTGTGGAGTCAGAGGAAGAGCTGACGTTCGGCAGTTGCTCCTCCTTGGTCTCCACGGAAGACGAGGAGACCACCGGCATCGAGTTCGACGCGACCGCGGACGAGGAGGGCAGCGACACCGAAAGCCTAGACCTGCAGTACGACCAACATTCCTCGCAGCACGGTACAGGGTCGTCCTTGGCAGGTCCGTCGACAAGCCCGGCGTCCCTCGTGTCACCGATGGCGAAACCGGCGCCTGGCACTACCCCGATGAAGTTGCTGCAGAGAATGCAAGCTCTGGCCTCTGGCCATCGCTCACTGCGTCCCGGGTCTGACATCCCGCCCGATCATCTGTCTTGGACGAATGCCAACATTCACTTCCTGCCTGAGCCTCAAAGTCGTTCCACGGAGGCGGACTGGGGCCATGACATGATTTGGCATCCAGGAGTCATCCAGCCGGCGATCCAAGAGGGTGAGTGGATCGTGGCGGTCGCTGTCCCGGACGGAGGATGGGTGCCACTCCCTCACGGATCGAAGTCTGACTTCCTCGACGTCGCTAGAATTGCTGTCCTCCAAAAAAATGAGGGCCGAGAATGGCTCTTTCGAGCCCGAAGACGTGTCCGTCATTTCCACAGTCGGGCGATTGTTCGCTGAACTTCAGGACAAGTGCTGGTTGGAGCTGAACAAGGACTAATACGACCTCGACAGCCCCTCGAAAGGAAGGGTGGACTGGAAAATCCCCCCTCCCAGTGGGACGCATGTAAGAACAGGGTCCCGGGGACCGGAAGGTGGGGAGAACGAGGGCGACCAGGCTCGGGGCGGCAAACGAGTCCCGGGGCGACAACAAGACGGTGACGAGGCTGAGGGCGGGTCTCAGGGCGACACCACGACAGCGGAAGGCAGCGGCGGGGTGGCGGGGGAGGCCCTCGGGCGTCAGCAGTCTACCTGTCCCGGTCCGGAATGCTCGGCACAGTCGGAGGACGTGCCCAGTTCATCTGCCTGCTCGGTGATGGCGGCCTTGGTTGCTCTCCGTGCCGGCTCGGTCGAAACGTTCAAGTCCGCCGGGATCCGAACTTCAATGCTTGCAGAGCGGACAGAGAGGACGGACACGCAGAGCTGGTCATGAGCGGGGGTGGCGAGTCCTCATCCCAAAATAGACAGCGGTGCTGTGAGGGACGGGACTTCGCCGCCTGCGGGGGATCGCCAACCGCTTCGGTCGGAGCCGGAGGGTGCGTGTGGAGGGCCCGGTGAAAGGGAGACGGCGAAGTTCGCGGGGATCCGAACTTCTCCAGGCAAGGAGTGTGGAGGGCCCGGCGACAGGGAGACGGCGAAGTTCGCCGGGATCCGAACTTCTTCAGGCAAGGCGTGTGGAGGGCCCAGCGACAGGGAGTCGGCGAAGTTCGTCGGGATCCGAACATCTTCAGGCAAGGGGGGCCAACCAGGGATATTGGTGCAGGCGGGAGGGGCTGCGTGCGGCGGGCGGGAAGCGCATTCATCGGGAATCGACACGATTTCGGGCGAAGTGGCTGCATTGCATGCAGCGAAAGAAGGCAGGGTGATGGACAAAGAGAAGGAAGTGGAGGAAGGAGACACAGGGGAGGAATTGGAGGAAGGAAGGGATGAAGGGGAGGAAGAAGAGGATGAAGGAGAGGAAGGGGAAGAAATGGAGTTGGCTGGGTTGCTAGGAGGGCAGGAGGGGGAAAAGGTGAACTCGATACAGGAGACGACGAACGGACTTTCGGTGACGACGATGACAGATCTGGGGGGTCTTCTGGCGGATTCGGGCAGCCGTACGGAGAACACCGCGAGGAAGACGAGTACGACGATGGCACGGCACTGGGTATGGAGACACAGGTGGTCACAAGCCTTTCGGCAGAACGTGATGACTATGACGTCCAAGCAATGACATCTGTCGTCGATCTCCAACACCGGTTCAACGAAGCTCGTGTAGCAGTCAGCCTGACTAAACCGAGTGTGCGTATTGACATCGAAGAAGTTATCGACGGCATCCTGGGCGACCACCAAATGTCCGCGCAGCCGTCCTCGACGCCTAGTGTCGACGACCCTTTCGACGTCAAACCTTCCGGGGGATCTGTCGTCGATTTCTCGCCGATGAGCTCTCCGATGCTGCTGCCAACCATCGCCAGCGGAGGAGAACGTGGGATCGGGGGACGACAAGATGTCACATCCCCGAAAAAAACTGCCGCCGGCACTCGAGCCCTCGACGTGCTGGCCTTGCCCGCGCCAAGTTCGCCGATTAAGGAGCGGAGAGACAAACCAGCTGGTAAGCAGTGACAAACGCCACTCTGTCTGCGCGCCAGTGACCGCAGTGTCTGTCAATGCACATGAGACAAAAACATGTGTGTTTTTGTTGAAGCATTCCCTCACATAATGGAAGGATGGTGTTTCTCTTTCGGAATGAGTGGTGGTTCTAGTCCGCCGGCATCCGCACTGCCAAACGGGAATGAGTGGTGGTTCTGGTGCCTCGATTAGGAAAAGTCTGTCGGGATCCTGACTTCACGAATGTTTGGCCTCCGGGTTTGTGGCTTGTTGAGGTTTTCCCTTCTGAAGGGCGGGGGTGTCGAGGTCGAACGCACTGCTCTTTTTGTTTTCTAGCAGGGTCTGCGCGAAAGTATTCTCTATCTCTCTCATGGCTAAACGGGGCTCTGTAAATAAATAGGTCCTGCGTCTTCTACATTTCGTGGTTCTTTAGTTGTCTTTTTCGTCGGGTTCGTCTTGGATTACATAAGTTCGTTTTCCGTTTTCTCTTCCTTCGGTTGCATAGGGGTTAGGTCATCTCCCTAGGTTGGAAAAGTCCGCCGGGATCCGGACTTTAGAGATGTTTGCCTTCCGCTTCTGTGACTTGATGTGCTTTTCCCTTCTGAAGAGCGGGGCTTTCGAGCTCGAGTGCACTGCTCGTTTTGTTTTGCAACGTGGCTTGTGCGGAAGTTCTCTCTCTCGCACTCTCATGGCATGACGGGGTTCTGTAATTGCATGGGTCCTGCGTCTTTTAGATTTCGTGGTCCTTCAATTGTCGTTTCGTCGGGTTCTTCTTCGGAAACGTGTATTCACTTTCCGTTTTGTCTTTCTTTTGTTGTACAGGGGTAGGGTCGTCTCGAACACGGAGACCCTCTAAATATCCGGAACACATACTACATACAGTCCCGGGGTTGACGACAAAACACAAGGACATGTTAAAGGCGTCAGGGGTTGATGTCGAAATCGGAAAAAAGGAGCATGCCATTGCCATTGAGGAGTGCCTTTCCCTTCTGCACCCAGAGAAAGGGACATATCCACGATCTGTGAATAGGCATCAGGCCATGTATGAGAAATACTTAGCTTCTCGGCGTGCGATGAAGGATAATCCTTAGTGTTTCGTTTCTCACTTCCCCCCCTGTCCTTCGCTCGATGTTGTGCAGTGTGGGCCACGGCACCTGGAACAGCAGTGACTGCGATTGGAAGCTTGCGGGTTTTGGACGACATTGAACGAGGCTTGGTGCCACCTGACACTGTACTCTCGACCCTCCACGATGGTCAGTTGCGAATTGCAGCGAAGGATATTCTCACCCTCGCACTTACCGACGACAGGGTGAATGATGAGGTGGTCAACTTCTACATGGCGCTATTAGGAACGACCGTATATGGGACAAGCGACATCCCGCCAGGCCTTCGAGTCTTCACCTTTAATTCTTTCTTCTTCAGTAAACTGCAACTTCAAGGGCACAGCGGGGTGGAAAGATGGGCTAAAAACGTGGATCTGCTTGAATATGATATTATCTTTGTTCTTGTCTTCAAAGATAATGATCACTGGATCCTCCTTTCCGTGAGCTTGAGAGATAATGTTCTTGAGATTTTTTATTCTTTTCCTTGCGTTGTAGCCGATTCTAGTTTTTACCTTAGTGTTTTCGAGTTGATCGTGCACTATTTGGAATGTGAAACATCACATAGGCGCTCGTGCAGGCGCTGGAAGTCGGTGGCAGCAAATGTTGTTATAGAGGGAGTTCCAAGACAAGTGGATGGAGTTAGTTGCGGAGTGTTTATGTTGATGTTTGCGACACTGTTGCAACGTGGCGATCGACCGCCTTTCAGGTTCTCTTGTAAAAATATTCCGTATATTAGACGACAACTGGCATCATGTGTCTTGGAATTTGAGTTGTCTTAGGTATGTTGACTGCCAGTTTGGTGTCGCGTATTGCCTTCGGAATCTCTGTCAGGTCCGGCTCGTCTTTAGTGTCATTACATTCATCGCATTGCAGTCCTCGTTGCAAATTGTGTCCCGGTCATCTAAGGTTGTGCATATGATTCACCTCGAAATGATATTCGTGTGTGTGGTGCGACATGACGAATTGGAGTGTGGATGCAAGACAAATCTCCGCGAGTGTGTGGGTGTGAGGTTCGTTATGCAAAGAGTAAAAGACCAGTGACATCATGTCTCTTGTGTGCATAGACAATCATGTACTTGTGACCGCCTGAATTACATGTGACCCACAATTTTGCGTTCTTGACCGGGAAAATAAATTGTATGTCCAAAATAACAGTTACTGTTTGTACTTCGAAAGAAGTCTGAATCTCTACAACATCCAGACAACCACCTCGGACGAGACGATAGCCATGCATGTACAACTCACGCATAAAAGAAATAAATAGTATTATCCAACAAGGATTCAATCATGACAACTTGCTCATCACATTCACAAACTTGAAGCTTAACAAGTGTGGCTCCCGACACACTATCGCACAGGCATCCCGGATGGGCGTGCCTGTTGCTACTCTACGTCTTCTAATATAATTATCCAACGAGGATGCAATCATGACACATTGCTCGTCACAATTATGAAATTGAAGTTTAACAAGTACGGATCCCAGCACACTTCCGCACAGGGTTCCCTAATGTGCGTGCTTGTTGTTATTCGTTTATGAAGTTTAACAAGTGCGGATCCCGACACACTTCGGCA